AAAGACACCCCCGTTCCTCGCAGTACCTCCCCTGCTTCTCCCCAAAGCTGCTTTCCGGCTCCCGCGGTGCCTGGGCCCGCCACACTGTTCCCTGGCACCGTCTTCACGTCTCCCCTACTGGCTGCCAGTCTGTCGTCCCATCTTCGTCCCTGTCCCAGCCCCTCTCCACGCCCTGCTCTGGCAGAGCGGGCTGCCCGGGGGTGGGGGCTGTGCCCGGGGCCCAGAAAGTTTGTGCTGGGGGACTTCGTGCCCCATGCCATCTGAGTGACTGTCACTCACCCACTAGAAGCTGGGTTCACCACCCTCCCAGCTGTTTGTGCGCTGCCTCCTCTTCCTCCCAGTGCTGCTCTGCGGCCCCACCTGCGGCCCCACCTGCGGCCCCACCTGCGGCCCCACCTGCGGCCCCGCTGCACCTCACACAGGAAGGAGGCTGCCCAGGGACCTGGAGAGGGTCCCATAGCACTAGCCGGAAGTGAAGGGACCCGTGTGGAATGTACACCCCTGCCTAGCCCCCAGGCTGCTGTGGGAAGTGAGGTGTTCCCTGCGTGTACACCTCGCATGGGTAACGCACCCTCTTCAGAAGGGTTCTTGTGAATTTCTGAGAGGATTGGAGGCCCTGAGCAAGCTTCAAACTTTTCTGCTATGATCTTGGGCAGATTTCCTGGCTTCTCCAGCCTCAGTTTCTCCATTAAACAAGAAATCACAACTTCCTCCTCCTCAGTGGGGACTGTGAGGTTTGCAGGCATGTGCCTAGGACTTCGGGTCTGTGATTTTAATTTGAGGAGAGGGTGTAAACTCCACCAGTCTATGCGCAGAGGAAAGGCCATCCTGAGGGGAACCTGCACTGAGATTCTGGGCGCAGGGAGCGGGGTGCTAAGGGCCAGCGGAGGTTCTGGGTATGTCCTCTGGGCTGTCCCGGAAGGCATCCTGGAAAAGGAGAAGCATGAACCGGGCTGTGAAGGCGGGGACATCTGGATGCTGCAGGCAGAGAATGGAGAGTGACAGTAGCCTGCACAGCTGGCAGGTGCAAACCGGAGGGCGCTGGCTGGAGTATCTGTCTACTCGCTGGCCTGCAGAGGGCGGTTGGACAGGTGAGCAGGGGCCACCTAGTGGCTCCTCCTGGCACTGTTTGCTGTCGGGTTGGCTGACCTGTTCTGCACTGGTTCCTCACCTCCCTGCCTGCGGGGTAAGGTGAGCACAGGTGTCGGGGTTGTCTTCACCTCTCGCCCCACTTCTCAGCACCCCAGAAGAAGAGTCATCCCTGCTGCAGCTCTGGCAGAGCCCAAAGGTGTTCAGCCCGCACCTTACAGGCTGCACGCACTTGACGTCCTTGGGGACTCGCAGCGGGAGCGAGGGGCCCAGCCTCTGTCCATTGGCCCTGAGAGCTCTGAGAAAAGGCTCAGCTGACTCCACAGAGGAGACGGTGCTTCACCCTCTGATTTCCTTTTGACAAAGCCGCTGTCCCAGAGCCCCAGGGAAGAGCCCAGGTGTGGTCAGCTGGCTGGGCGAAATCAGGGTTTTCCAGCCTCCCAGACGTGGCATTCGGGGACCAGCCAGGACCTCGGGAAAGCTAGAACCCCGCACGCCAGGCTGCATGGCATTGGACCCGTGCCCACTCCCTGCACAAGGGCTCACCTGCCTTCCTCTGGCTCATCGATTCTGCATGTTCCTACTTTTCCTGCCTATGGCCACCAGCGAGAAGGGCTGTGACCCATCCTGCCTGTCCTTTGGAGCCAGGACATGTCAATCATAGGTCATCAGTTGGCCAAAGACAGCTGCCCTTGGACAGGTGCCCAGCATATGGAGGGCATGGCTGTGGGGGTCCCCATGCAGGTACCTCCCTTAGCAGAAGGTGGTTACAGGACAGGCAGTGAGACACGCCAGCATCCAAGCGATGGAGCGATGGAGGAGAGCCAATGGAGATGAGAAAGGCGGCCGGGATGTTGGGTGGCAGCGCTCAAGGTGCCTGTTGAGCATCACGCCTACATTGAGCTCTGTGCTAGGCATACTGCACCCTCTCAGCCACCCTAGTAAGTGGGGGTGATCATTCTCCCCATTTTATGGGTGAGAAATTGACCTAGAAAGGTAAGTTACGTAACTTAGGTGATAGCGCTATTAGTAAAAGGATATAATTAATAGCTACCATTTTCTGCGTGTGGGGTACCATTAATAACGTATTTCATGTAATCCTCACCGAAAACCTATGGGGGTTATTAATATCCTCATTTTAGAGATGAGGCTAAGTAACTTGGTCAAGGTCACAAAGCGACTGACGGGCCGGGATTCGAACCCAGCTCCCTGTACCCATGTGTCTTTCTCACCCGCCTCCATCCTCTTGGTTGGCTAGAGCCGTGTCTGAGACGTCCGGTGAGCACTACGGAGCTGCCGCAGGGGCTCAAAGACCATGGGCCGAATGTCAAATGCGCTTGTCTCGGAGGGCCCGGGGGACCGGCTGGCCAGGAGGTCGTGCCCTCTGGCCCTTGTCCACTCAGCCTCTGCCCTGCAGTGCCGAGGGCACTCAGCTCTCTCCATAAAGCTGCTTCGACTTAACTCTGACAGTCGCATTTCTCATTAAAAATAAATTTGTCTTGGCTTCCCGTGGCATGGAAAGCCATTGTGCTGTGTGATTCAATGGGCTTGTCACCCCTCACTGTTAGGCACGGGGAGCCGAACAACTGGATGGTCTCCAACGCCAGCTCCTCACTTTCTGCGGCTGAAGCCAGAAACGTATAGTGGGCTGACATTTAATTTAGAATCTAACATACCTTGACATAAAATCATAATACGAAGGCGGGGCGGGGCGGGGGGCTGCCAAGCCCGGCGAGAGGTGGGGGGAGCCCAGTGACAGCGTGGATTTCTTTCTTTCTTTTTCTTTTTCTTTTTCTTTGTCAACACTGAGTGGGGCTGACAGACGAGAGGCTGTGCTCAAAGGCAAGAATTAGCATGGAGTGAATGTGTGTGTGAGTGTGTGCGCTTTTTGTGCTGACGTGCTGTGCACAGGCGGTGGGTCTGCGTCCAGTGTCCACTGGGATGCTGTGTGTGGCATCCTGCGGGCTGTCTGTCAGATGTAACCGGAGAAACGGGAGCCCAGGCCGGGTCCTCGAGGCTAAGACTGGCGCCCAGGAGCAGGATAACTCGGGCACAATGGGCGAGCTGGCACCTGCCCGTCAGCCTTAGTGTCTCTGGCCTCGCCATGGGCCTCCAACATGCCGTCAGTGCTTGGCCAATACAGAGCAGGAAGGGAATGACGTTATTTTGAAAGCTAGAAGCAGAGTTCTAGCTTTTAATTCAGCGGAGCATCCTGATGGACTAATTGGGTATGAAAAGCTGAGGCTCAAGGCTGGGGGTGGAGGGGAGGGCAGGCCCCGGAGGGGAGGCAGGGAGGGGGGTTGGGAGCCTTGGGGCTGGCAGGCAGGGGGTGCGCGCTTGGAGAGCGTGGTTTTCAGTGCTGTGCGCGGGAGGGTCCCATCTGTTACCCCCGGTCGCTGATAAGAGTCTGCTCAACAGCCTGTGTTTGCGATGCTTTGGGGAGGTGAAGGGGGTGGCCCCCCATGAGGTCAGAGCACGGTAGGGAGAAGGGTCTGGTTCACGAGAGGACGGGGCTGTAGGTCCAGCATTCAGCCCAAGTAGGATTTCCGACCCGCAGGGGACACGATCTTGAGCCATTTAGCTGTCATTTC